CTGGGTTGAGGGGGAATAGAACGGACCCTGCAAAACACCCATCCCTCCTCCATACTATATCTTTAGGGAAAGGGCAACTTTCCCCAGCATGAATCTCTTGGCCGGGAGCATCAGCTTGGCTCCATGCCCCTCCCATGGTTCTCTTAAGGCCCTGGCTGGCAGACAGCCCCTGTAGTCTTCTCCCAACCCCCATTCCTCATTTTACTTCACTGGGCAAGGGGGAGGGGAAAGGGGCTGGGGGGAAGAGGGCTTTGTTTTCTCAACCCAGACTTGGAAGTAGCAGAGGCTGGGCATTGGCTGGACACTGAAGCTCTGTTCTTCAGGGGAAGAATAGTCTCCTCTGTATGGTAGGGAGTGGGGGCCGTCACCCAGTGACTAGGCAGGGAGGGAGGATGGGCCTTGGATGGACCTGCAGCCATGCGTTTCCTTCCTTCCAAATAAACTCTGCTCTAAGCTATGGTCTGCATGGATAGGGCCAAGTGTCAGAGCTCAGGACACGGAATTTTCAGCAGATTGGACACCCAAGTTGTATATCTTCTCTGAATCTCAAAAATGGAAAGCTTCAGACCCCTTCTTCCCAACCTCCCTCATTGTTGTCCCTCTGTCCTTTCTCCCTCCCTCCTCTCTTCTGTTTCCATCTCTTTCCCTCACCTCTGCATCTCTTCCCACCCCCATCTTTGTTTCTGTCTGTCTTCATGTCGCCTGTTTTTGTCTCTCTTCATTCTCTCTCACACTCACTCACACACACACACACACACACACACACATCCTAAGAAAGTAGTTATTAAAGTCTGGAGGAACAATTTCAGGCAAGCAACAGAAGAAACATTCTTTACCTTCTCTACCTCTCCATTGGCAACAGGCTCTGGCAAAGGACCTGTAAGAGTAAAGGGGAGAGAATGTTGTGTATGTAGATGATTCCAAAGGCCTTGGCCATTATCATTACTGACCTAAACTTTGCAGGAATATTTCAGGGTGTGGGCAGGGAAGGATTGGAAATTGCCCTCGTTCTTTGGGAACTCAGCAAGAGAAAAGAACTGTCACCCCATGTCTCTTGCCTAGAAATTCAGGAAAGCTGATCCATAGTATGCTGACTTCCCCAACGCAAAATTGGGGAACTCGGCAGCATCTGGTCTGGGAAGGGAAAGTCTTAGGATATAAAGAATATAAGGCAGGAAGGGATGAGGACTGGGAGAGGAGAAAAGGAAGGACTAGGTGGGTGGCACCTATACCAAGGCCTTAAGATTTGCTGAGTGCTTGAGTCACAATAACCCTCTCTGGTAATGAAACATTATCAAGATCTCCATTTTATAGATCAATAAACTGAGGCACTGAGAGGTTATGCAACTTAAGCAAGGTTACAGGATAAGAAAGGTATATTTGAAATTAAGATCTCCTGACCAGGGCCACTCTTCTTTTCCCTACATCAATAGGGAATGTTTTCTTTATGGCCACAGACATAAGTTTTAGTGATCCCATGTAGGTAGATATCTTCCGAATCCTCCATTTTTTTTTTCATTAAAAATTGAATGTTATGACCCCTGGAGTGGGGATGAGGGCCCTACTAAGTATCAGTATTAGGACACAACTTAGAAATAGCCTTACCCTAGACTCAAGAATAGGGTTTGCTGTATCAGAAAACTATTCCAGGGGACAACTTAGCATCAGGTTTAGTGTCCTGGGTGCTAGCATTGTCACTGAGCTCCAGGACCATTTCTCCCAGATCCATTTGCGCGGCAGAGCCCCAGAGCTGTGTTGCCAGATGCCCCAGCCCATAGTGATTCCCAGCCCAGGACTAAATGGGTGAATAACCTAGCTGTTGCCCATGGGGAACAGAGGCTCCAGTTTGAGTACAGGAAAAGAAGGAATAAGGTTAGGAAGCATCCGGATGCTGTCACAACAGCCCGCTTTCTACCACTTTACCACATACCTACACAGTTGCCATCAATGGAAGAACTTTTAGCATTTGACAAAACCAGACATTGAGAAGTGCAAGCCAAATCTGCAATACAGAACTAGTGCAAAGACTGCTGCTTAAAATGCAGAGCTCTCAATCCTGAAGGGGAGATGTCAATAAAATGAAAAGATGGATAAAAATAACAATTGTTGTTCTGAAAGTAACATTAATTTTACATTTATGGGGATGGTAGAGTTATTGAATTACTACTTACCTAATTCTCATTTTTAGTCTTTCAACATGAGTTTTTTGTTTTGTTTTAAAGGTGATAGTGAGGCAGCTAAGTGGTACAGTGGATAGAGTGATAGGCCTAGAGTCAGGAGGGGGCCTCCGATACTTACTAGCTGTGTGATCCTGGGCAAGTCATTTAACTAAGCTGTCTGCCTCTGCTTCAGCAACTGTAAAAGGGGAATAACAGTACCTATCCTCCCAATAATATTTGTAAAGCACTTGGCACAGTGCCTGGCACATGGTAGGTGCTTAATTAATGCTAATTCTCTATAGTTATCCATGTTTGTCATGTTAGGCCTTTGTAAACTGGTCTTCATCATCATCATTAACTCTAGTCCTCTGTAAACTATCAATAAAAGTCAACAGTGCTCCTTGAAAAGACCTTTGACACGAGCTGGAAACCACCCAGCTGGAGCTGCTCATTTGTTTCCGATAGCAAAGACTTAACTGCCCTGTTGCAGTGAAATGTTCACTGGGTTGCATGCGCCCTGTGTCACTTTCTAATTCTCTAGTGTCCTCATGGGATACCTGAGCAATAAGTATTTTCATTGGGAAGTTTCTCTAGGCAGTTTAAGACTTGCTTAAGAGATGCAAAGGAAGAGGCAAGAAGTGTTGATGTAGTTCACCCTTCTCTGGTCAGGATTCCATGACTCACCCTCATCCAAATGAAAGCTTTCAGGCACAGCTTTATTTTCAGTTTGCCAAACTAGTCACAGCTCCTACTGGAGCCTAATTAACAGTTCCGTCCCCTCCTTAGCCTCTCATTCCAAGGGCCACTCAAGGACTTCCTACCCACTGAACTCCCTGGTCACCAAAGTGGCATAGTAGATAGTGCCAGGCTTAGAGTTAGGAATGACCAGAATTCAAATCTTGCTGAAATCTCCTACTAGTTCTATGAGCCTAAGCAAGCCATTTAGCTCCCTACAGCCTTAGTTTCTTCATCTGTAAGTACCTACCTCACGGTGTTTTTGAAAAGATCGAGTAGGATAGCATAAGCAAAATGGTAGGGACTAGGGGCAGCTAGGTGGCACAGTGGATAGAGCCCTGGAGTCAGGAGGACCCGAGTTCAAATGTGGTCTCACACCAGACACTTGATCCTTACTGCTGTGTGACCCTGGGGCCAGTCACTTAACTCCAATTGCCTCCACAAAAAAAAAATAAATAAATAAAAGTAGGGACTCAACCTGTGGTTTCACTGGTATAAAAAAAGCTGTCCTCAGTTCATGCAGGCAGGCATTTTCCCTGCAGGTCTTCACAAAGGTGAAATGACCTTATACACTTAAAACCCAGGTCTTCCTGACTTAGAAGCTGTTGTCTCTCTATCCACACTGTTACACTGCCTCACCTCCATATGTAAAGGACTTTGCAAGCTTTAAAGCTAAAATGATTAGCTAATTTTATTATTATTCCTGGAGCTCCCAGGGCCCTGTCTTTGCTGAGGCCATGGGGTTAAAGTCAGGAGATATGATGTATATACTCGGTGTCAGCTGAAAAACAAGCTTCATAACTCCTCCCCCAACCCTCCGCCCCAAAGTATTTCTAAACATGTGACAGGACTGTATTAATAAGCCACCAACCTGCCCCCAACACCAAATTCTCCCAGGGGATCTAGCCTGTGGCAAAGTCCAAGCTGGCCACACCCTCTGCATGGCTCACAGCCCAGGGAGCCATCTCCTTCAGGGTCCAGTACAGTGAGCAGGGTCCACTTAACCCCTTCCTGACTAATGAATGCCATGGCAACACTGCTAGGCAGGATCTGAGCCAGGGGAGGTACAACACTGGAAGAGGGAAGGGCAGGGGCCAGGGGGACCCCAAGTGGGAACCAGCTGCTCTGCAGAACATGCCTCAAGTTTCCAAGACAACCTGACCCAGGGAAAGAGGAGGGGGAAGGGAGAAAAGCTATCTCGATCCTACTGTTTATTGGAGCTGACCTGACTGACAAAGTTAACCCTTTCATCCATAGAGTCCATGACAAAAGGCCCTTGGGGAAGTTGTAGCCTGGTTCTCTCCTTTCCCTCTCCCTACCCCCATCCATTAGAGAAAGGACCATCTTTTCATGTCCAGTTCTACCCTTCCCCCAGCCTACTGTCATCCCTCTCCTAGCCTTCAGCTAAAGCACCCCTGCCAACTCTCTCTTCCCCTGCCCACATCAGGACCTCAGTGCCAGCTCCCCTTATCTGTGCCAGCTTCCTACATCTCAGGAAGATAAAGTAAGATACAGTGCCAGGGCTCCAGCCTCAGAAGCTCTAAGAACCTTAGCAAGGGGAAAACAACAGGCCACCTCTATCCCTGAAACCCAGACACCCTTGCCCCACTTCACCCTGTTTTACTCTGCAGCTACTAATGCCTTTTCATTCCCTGAAATCAGGGCCTGTCTCCTCATCCCTCATTCTAACTCACCACTCAGGTGCTCCTGGGATGGTATCACTTTACACTTTTTGAAGAACTCATCTGTCTCCTTGTCCACAACCAGCAGCTTGGTCTCATCTCCACCAGACTTGATTGCAGTGACCACATCCCCATGCTGTTTCCCTTCCATACAGATCCCATTCACCTGTGAGAGTAGGTAAAGAGAGTTGGAGGAGTGACCCCAAGGTTGGGAACATGGAGGGGTGGGGTGGGGAATGTTCTCCATACTGTGCTACTTTATGACCCAAGGGAGCCCCAGATCCCCATTCTGTGGCCCTTACCACAATTGGCAACAAAACCCATTCACCAACCCAAAGCATTGACCAAGGACATGATTAGGCAGGGTGGGAAGTAAGAAGACGAGATTGTGAACTCCTTGACACTATGGACTGGTTTTGTGTGTTTTGCCTCTCTTTGTATCTTCAGTGCTTAGCATAAAGCCTGGTATATACTACAGGCTTAATAAATGCTAGTTAACCAACTGTGAAGAAAAATAAGTTTGTTTGTTTTTTTCCTCCCAAAGGAGGAGCTTTTAGCCTAAATGGGAAGCCAGGCAAAATAGGAAAAGATGAAAGTACAGCTCTATGGACTGGCCTGTTAGTTTGGTGGTTGGATTTAGGGACAAATGCAAATCTATTTTGTTTTATGAGAGACTGCCACTATTCCTACTACCCCTCAGTGGATCCAAGGCCCTTGGAAAAGTTTTATTATTTCTGTATTTCTACAGGTACAACTATAGAAACTAGCTAATTCCCATTTCCTCTTTCATCAAATCTCTCACAAGTCTGCCTAACATCTCAGATGACCAAGTTTCCCTTTCCTTCCACCTGTAAAAATAATGCCCCAAGGGGCAGCTAGGTGGTACAGCAGATAGAGCACCGGCCCTGGAGTCAGGAAGAGCCAAGTTCAAATCCGGCCTCAGACACTGGACATTTACTAGCTGTGTGACCCTGGGCAAGTCATTTAACCCCACTGCCTAGCAAAAAAAAAAAAATGCCCCACAATGCCATCTTGGAGAGGGAATCAAGATGCGCAAAGAAGCCTCTAAGTCCTTCCCAGTGGTTCCTGTGACCCTCTTCTGGGGATAGCTGAGTGTCCAGCTTAATTACACCAAGAACTACAAAGCTCTATAGGTAAGCAGCTGAATTTGTCTGCAGACAGGAGTGGGACTCTGGATGGTGAAGGCCAGGAACAGGAAAGAGATTTTGTTTATTCAATCAACATTTCTACTTAGGTGCAAAGCGCTGTGCTAGGTAGGCTTTTGGGGGGGAATCCAAAGATGAATAACACAGTTCTTGCCCTCAAAGAGCTTACAATCTAGTTAGGAAGAAGCTGGGCAAGGAGAGGTTAGTGGAAAGATGAGAGAGAGCTTGAGAACCTGAGGAAGAAGGGATTTAAAAGATGAAGGACTATTACCTCCACAATCCGGTCCTGGGCCTGGAGCCCTGAAGCCTCAGCTGGTGAGTTGGGATCCACAGCTCGGATGTACTGGCCTGGTTTAGACTTGTCACTGTGTAGGTTGAAGCCATAGCCATTGGGACCTTTCTTCATAGCACAAAGTCGGGGCCTCAGCTCTCTCTGTGTACATACAAGGACAGAGACTTCAGCATCTTACTCCATTCCCTCTTTATCTCCTCCCCATTCCCACTCTGGGTGGTAGCCTCAGTCCCAGACCCTTCTTTCCATAAGTGGGCGAAGACTGAGCAGCGGGTTATGGACTTGGACCCTACAGAACCCAAGATTTTTGAACATGGTATTGTGGAAGAGCCCCGAGTTCTAAACCAGATTATGACACTAATTATTTGTGTGATTTTAGACAAGTCACCTCCTTTGCCAGGGACTCAATTTTATTACTTTCAAAATAAAGTGGGGTGGGGGAGGTAAAGAAGAACTTAGTAATCTTTAAGGTCCTATGCAGCTTTTATATTCAATTTGCAAAACATTCATTAAGCATTTACTGTGTTCAAAACTCTGGGGGTAAGGATGGATACAAAGTTTAGATTAGACACAGTGACTGCCTTCATGAAGTTTACAATCTAGTAATTTCAGAATCTATGACTCCTCATTTTAATTAAAATTTTACTCTTGTGTTATTAATGGTATAGAAGCAGTGTGGCATGATGGATTTATTTCTAGCCTTTTTTGAGTTCCAAATTCTCTTCCTCCCTCCAATTTGTCACTCATCCATTGAGAAGGCAAGCAATATGATATCAATTATACATGTGAAATCATGCAAAACACAGGCATGGTGGATTTAGTCCTGTGTTTGGTTTGAAGAATGCCTAGGTTTGAAGCTCGCTTCTAACACTTATATATCTGATTCTGGAGAGATCACAACCTGTTAGCTTTAAGCAGCTCCCTAGAACTGATCTCTCTAAGATGTGGTAGATTGCCAGGATGCCCTCTACCTTACTGGAAGAAGCTCCTTGAAGATTCTGAAATCATAGATCCTTCTTAAATTCACATGCCAACAGCCAATCATGAAGCACACTACTCCTCTCCTGGCAGAGAAGTGGTGGACTCAGGGGACTGAATAAGACTTCCATTTTTGGATGCAGCCAATGAAAGAATCTGTTTTGCTTAACTATGCGTATTTACTACAAGCGTGTTTTTTTTCTTTTTTTCTTTTTTTTTCTCCAGGGTGGTAGCGGGAAGGGGCTCTAAGGAGGAGAGAAAATAGATTTTTGATCATTGAAAAAAAAAATTCCCATGCCAATCATATAGGATATCCCAGCACTGCTTAATTTGACCCTGGGGAGTAGCAGAGGGAGTCTCTTCTGTGGGAGTGGAAGGAGGTTCTTGATCTTCCCTAGATTGAGGCTAAGAGAGAAGGATAAGGATGTATAGCAAACTTAGTCTTTAAGAAAGAAATGGGTAAGGGGCAGCTAGGTGGGGCAGTGGATAGAGTACCAGCCCTGGAGTCAGGAGGACTCAAGTTCAAATCCGACCTCAGACACATAAAACTTCGTAGCTGTGTGACTCTGGGCAAGTCACTTAACCCCCAATTGCCTCACTAAAAAAAAAAAAAGAAAAAGAAAAAACTTTAAAAAAAGAAAGAAATGAATAGTTACTCCTCTGAGCCCTACATTGTCTCTGCAAGAGCACAGCAGTAAGGTAGACCATAAACAGTGTTTACTGAAAGCTGAGGCTGTTTGTTTACAGTAAAGCTTATCGTTACCAGCGTTACCTAACTTTAATCACTGAATGGGAGTCACCTCAGACAAACTGAGACCTGGGAAAGACTTAGCTTAAAAAAGGCCAGGATCTTCCACTGAATCCGGGGCCATCTCTAATCATCCTTATCTATATCTTGCCACTGGACCCAGATGGCTCCAGAGGAGACAGTGAGGCTGGTAACTTTGCACAGCCCTGCCTCACTTCAATCCAATTCACTTTCAAGTCATGACATCACCCTTCTCGTGTCATGGTGCTCTTCCAGAACGAAGGACAAGCAGCAACAACAACAATGTCATTACCAACACCAACTCCTCTCATTCTGGCTCTCCCAAGGCTCAGCCAAAGAGCCAGCTCCCTCTGCAACCAAGAAAGAAGAGTAGACATTTGGACTACAAGTGGGAGGAATGATTTGAGTATCAGGAAGGGAAGGGGATAGAATAGATAATTAATTGGAAAAACCAAGGCTTGGTCATCCTCATGAACTCAGGAGAAGCTGAAGGACCCGTGCCTACTCACTATTCCTGATAAGTGTCTACACATCACTAAGGGGAATGCTATATTCAGATGAGGGAAACTTGTAGATCAGGGCTATGTACTGAAGGTATTGTTGGTATGGCCCTAGTCAAAAGTCTAGTTTGAGAATTTGCCTTGGGACTGAGGGTATTTAAACAATTTTTTAAAATGGCATCTCTGGATTTCTTCTAAACTTTCAACTGTTCAGGTGAAAAGTGTAATGTGAGAAGCAGTTCAGTTATGAAAAAAAAAAAACAACACTAGAGACCTGGGTTCTAATTCTGTTTGCCACTAAATCACTGTGACCTTGGTTCTATAACTTCTCTTTGTGCCTCAGTTTCCCTGTAAAATGAAGAGGGTTGGGTTAGATAATAGGATCATAGCTTTAGAGCTGGGAGGGATCTTAAAGGTCCAATGTTACTCCCTTGTTTTACAGATGAGGAAACTGAGGCACCAAGAAATTAAGTTGACTTCCCCGGAGTCATACTTGTAAATACCTGATTGAGGATTTGAACTAGGTATTCCTTGACTCCAAGTCCATCACTCTGTCCATGACTGGCTCCAAGGCACCTTCAGCTCTGGACATTGTGTAGTGCTATCCCCAGTCCAAGTTAAAAGTTTTAACATCCAAACTGCTACCCCAGGACTTTTTTTCTGGGGGGTTGAGATATACAGCAAGATGATCCACCTACCTTCAGTCCTCCCCCATCCCCCATCTCTGCCCTCAGCAACTTAGACAATCAAGGCAAATCTTCAAGATTCACTTTGGACCTCTAAGCAGGGGCTAATGGCTAAGAAAAGCATAATCTATCTTTTAACAGCCCCAGTCCTTTGATAGGGATGGTGGCAATGACTTTCCAGGTATGAGTATGAGAGGGAGAGAGAGGATCCCCAAGGGAAACCTTTAAGAAAAGGAACTCAAACTCAGGCTGGGAGTGGCAAAGTCAAGGAGGGAGGACCCAAGTTGCAGCCACACTTCCTGCCCTAACTTGCAAGTCCCATGGTGACTAAATGGCTCAGCTAACAAACTCTGGGGTTTCCTTTGGCAAAGTGCCCATCTCCACTCCCCTCAGGCCCAGCTGCCACTTGCATCACAAGAAAGGGTACCAGGTTCTAACAGAGAAGCTCCTTAATTCACCAGCTCTCTCTTCTTTTCTCCTATTCCCTCATCCTCCCCAGTTCAAACCAATTCCCCCCCTCCCCCTGCCCCACCCCCATCATTTACTGCTGCCTGGGAAGGTAAAGAACTGAAAGATTCTGGGTCTTGAGCAGTTCCCCACATATACAACTTGGGCTGGGAAATTCAAACTTGATTGCTCTGGAGTGTGTAGGGAGAGTTCACTGCTGGGGTGTATGGGAGGGATGGAGGCTAAGACAGGAAAGAGGAGGTGAGCACCTTGCCTCTAATTCCTTTTAAATTCCAAATACCAACCACCTACATCTGGGCTTGGCTATCCTCGGGTTGTTCTTTTAGCGCCAAAAGCAGAGCGTGGGCAATGGAGAGAGTGTCACAGGTGTACCCTTTGCCTCCTAACCTACCCAACCCTCTCTGCTATGGATGAGGTTGGGATTAGCAGACCTAACAAGTAATATTACCTCCTACTTGGGCCACCTGGAATCCTCTCTTCCCCTCTTGCCTCCCAACAGATGTAGCTACTCCACTCTCAGCATAGTTCAGAAGAAATCCTCCTCTTTCTCTTCCCCCATCTGTCTCCATGAGGCATCAAATCAGTGCCTTTTCTGTGCCCCTCAATACTTCACTTCTCCCCCCTCCCTCATTCTGGGGATGAGGTTCTAATTCTCCCCAGAGTACTAATCCCTTCACAAAGCTTCGAGTCTCACCCTGCTCCCTGGAAATGCCAAGGTGAGAGGGAACAGGTCTGACAAGTTGCTGCCAGGATCAGCTCAGCTCAGCTTTCTGTCCCAGCCAGACCCACAGCAAAATTTCCTCCACTCTAACCTGCCCACCCCTGGAACCAATGCTAAGAAAGCAAGAGGATAAACAAGGACCAGGAGGCTCTGTACCAATGTTCCTGTTATTCTAGGGTCTGCAAGCTACAAAGCCCAACGTGGAACATGGAGCCAGCTTAGGGTGGAAAGAAAAGCATTCATCAAATGCTAAAGTCTCTCCCCACCTGCTCAGCTTCCTAGTCAGTAAGAAGGGAGGGACAGACACTGGGGTTCAGTTTCTCTCTCCTGTGGCTACGGGCCTTCTTTGCACTGAGGCATCTTGGGGACTGATGAAACCCACAGCCTTCCTTCCGGAGTACTGAACTAATGCATATAATGGAAGCTGTTGCTTCTGAATTACAATAACCAGAACCCCAGAGGTGAAGAATGCAATAAATAACAAAGCAGTGAACATTCTTGGGTATTAGACCTTCCACCTAGAAAGTGGCTTGGGAACTCACTCATGGCTAGCTTGGGAAGGGTGCTGAGCTCTCTTGGAGGGTGCCTTCCACTCCCAGCTGTCAGGACTACACAGGCCACACCCAACTCAAGCTCCCCTTCCTTTCCAGGGCCTCCAGTCTATACCGCTTCTCTGACAGGTCCTCTTTTGAAACGGAGTACATTCTAGAGAAGCTCACACAGCCAGATCTGGGATGATGGGGAAGTTTTGTTTGCCCCTCTGCCCACTTTAAGAAGGAGAAGAAAACAAAAAAGAGAGAGAGACACTATTCCCAGAGCAGAGAGAGCACATAATTATGAGGCCAGGTTACTGCTGCTCTCTTTCTGGGGAAATAGTCCAAACACATTGGATTAATTGCATAACGCCCATTGCTCCCCTAGAGTATACCCTGTGTAGGCCTGAGGATTAGGAAAGGATAGTTGGGCTGGGTTACGGGGCCAAGACATAGCTAAAAAGGTGACAGAAGGCATCAGTGGTT